GTATATATATATATATATATATATATATATATATATATATATATATATATATATATATATATATATATATATATATATATATATATATATATATATATATATATATATATATATATATATATATATATATATATACTGTACAGTATATATATATGCAGTCCCCGACTTACGACTTGACCATCTGACCTGACCACCAACCGTTGTGTGCTATTTAAAGATTAGTAGGGTCATTGCCTAATACCTGACCATTGTGGACCTGGTCTCACCCTCCTCTGTATATATACACCTTGATTTGTATTACTCTCTCTAGTCTGTACTCACCCCTGAAGATGTGAATTACACGAAAGCGCGTGGGAACTTCGTTTTTCCTTCTTTTCTTGTGGTTATCAGCATATACCTGAGATCACGCCAGCACTCTACAGTGATTTACTTGCATATATATATATATATATATATATATATATATATATATATATATATATATATATATATATATGTATATATATATGTATATATATATATATATATATATATATATATATATATATATATATATATATATATATATATATATATATATATATATATATATATATATATATATACTGTATATATATATTGTACAGTATATATATATGCAGTCTCGACTTACACTGTTAGGGGACTAAATATATATATATATATATATATATATATATATATATATATATATATATATATATATATATATATATATATATATATATATATATATATATATATATATATATATATATATATATATATATATATATATATATATATATATATATATATACATACATACATACATACATACATACATACATACATATATATATATATATATATATATATATATATATATATATATATATATATATATATATATATAATTTTCCAGTTTTGAATAGTACGTGATAGGTTAGGTTACATTAGGTTTTCAGCATTTAATTTTATATGATAGCAAATTTTAGTGTACTGTACAGGTATTTGACTTATCCTGTACTGGAGAGAAAGAATATAAATATATTTTTTAGTAAAATTCTTGAGATATGAACTATAACAATTATATTGGACAGAATATATTTGGGGAAATTTGGTTAGGGTAGGATAGGTTACCCAGTACAGTATACCTGTATTAGGTTAAATTAGGGTAGGTTTAGTTAAATTAGGTTATGTTAGGTTAGCATTAGGGTGGTTAATCTTATAGGTGAAATAAACTGAAGTTGGGATTCTACAGGTGATTCAATATTACTTTTAAATAATATGAACGCTAGTCATATGCTGTGTGTTGTCTCCAAGTTAAAATGTATTGTTCCTCCACCACCATCTATTGCCATGTTACCCCTCACCTTCTTGACAAGAACTTCTTTTTGTACCTATATATGCTATACTGTATTAAATTGCTTCTTTCATTTAGGTTCTGCTGGGAAAAAAATTTCAAAATATAGACTTATAATTTCTTATTTAGTTTTATATGGAAATGGTTACAGTAAATTTGGACCTGTATCTTGGAACTATTAAATGTCACCAAAATGTAGTAGGTAATATAAATAGAGAATGTTAGTGCTTATATTCTTTCTTTAATAATGTTGTTGTTATCTTTTTAGGTTTTATGCCACTTCCTGATTATTCTGCCCAGCATAAGGAGTGATCCAAACCTCTCCTCCTCTGCACTCGTCCTTGTACAAGCCATCTTTAAACACAAACCTGGCCTTTACTGGCTGATCAAAAATGGTTTGTTTATTACTTTACACCACGTGTTAATGTTAATATGTCTGGAGTATCGTATTATATGTGTTCTTAGTTTATTATATATTTCCAGGTTTTGGTTTTTCACACATTTCTTTTCCCCAAGTAAAAATATCTGTTAATGTCTGGATGGTTTCTGTATTTTTATCCCATCCATAAATAGTGTGTGTTGGTTTGGTCATCTGTTGCTACCTTCCTCCCCCCAACACAAACACCACTTATCAGCTTACATTAAGCCAGTTGGTTTCTTCTTTGGTTTGACTTTATTTATGAAGTTCTTAACAAGAGTAAAATTCCCTTCCAATTATATAATCCCTAAACACCCATTGTCTTCCAGGGTTCTGTTGTCCTGCCAGGCTCCCAAGGTATACCTGTAAAGTTATGCTGTATGTGGAACTCTGCCTAATGCCATTGTTGAGTGTGGTTCCTTAGACTCGTGTAGAAGTTGGTTAAGCGGATGATTACTATTCATTCTTTAGATTATTAAACTCCTTAAGTAATTTTTAAAATGCTGAATGACATGTTTACAGTGCTTAAAGTTTTCATGCCAGAGCTTATGTAATATTACTACCGATGGCTAACACTTATAGGTACCTTTCCTCCTCGGTGGGCACCTGAACCCTCTGGACCGATTGAATGCTAACTCCTTTATATAAGTTTCATTTGTTTTAATAGCTGAATTATTTCATACAGTGTGAACAGAGTACAGTAAATATACTTTTTTAATCCCATTTCTCTGTTTATCATAGTACAGTAGTTCATTTATTTATACAAGGTACACTTCTCAATCGCAGTGTTATGTTTGTCTTAGTACAGTAACTTATTTGTTTCTCTATCCAGGCATATGGGAGAAGATGTTGCTGCCTTGCCTACGAAGCCCCAGTATGTTTGTACAGCGAGAGGGAGTAAATGTCATTGCTACCTTTATGCTGCTGCTTATAGACACACCGGTAAGAGTCACAGCAAACATTGTGAGAATATATTGTACCTTAATGTATCATATATGTTGGACTTTAACCCCTTCACTATGGGGGATGCCACTTTTAATACTCGTATTTGGCCAATGGCAGATGATCCCGTACAAAAGTGGTTAAGAGTGACAGGTTTATGGGAGTGTTTTAGCCATTCTGTTTTTGTATGAGTGGTGTAAAAACCATCGTGTATAAGTTACATTATACTATAATTAATGTTACATCCTGGCTTTGTATAATATAATTATTATTCACTGTTTTTTGCAGCATTTTGAGTCCCTGGTTAAGGACTTGTTCATTATCTCAGACAAGTTCTGTGAGTTGCGGCAACAGATGAGTAAGGCAGATGGGGAGGAACTGAGGCAGAGCAGCTTGTGTGTTCTTCGTATATTTAAAGAAGTGTATACGCAGGTACTGTAATTGGGGAATTAATTTTTGTTTTGCAAAATGTTAATTGTTTATTTATTTATTTATTTTACAGTAGATTCCTCTGTCTGGTATTATTCAGTCTTAAAATCTTCAGTCTATGGCCAATGGAATGTGGTAAAAAAATCTGCACCATCGGTAATGTGATACAGTACATTAGAAAATAATCACAGTGTTCAATGAAATATGGGTAAATTATTACATCAATGGTTTCAAAACTTACAGAATACATTACATGGTATATATAGTAAGACTCGTTTTATTGTTTACCCTTTAATGCCTTGCGTGGCATTTTCATGACGCTTGTAAGTGAAGGAGTCAGGAGAATGTGTGTGTGAGTTGGTGCGTAGAGGCTACACCTTTGGCAGAAGAAATAGAGAGGGTATTGGAGTTAAGTCTGAAGCTTGGACAAACTACACTAAGATCAAGGTGTTGGGGCTAAAGGAGGAAAAGCTGGTGAAGCAGGGAGAGGAGGTTCAGTGGAGATAGGGAATGGAAAATTTGAATGAAAATAGATTGAATGAAGAAAACACCCTGAGCTAACAGAGTTGGTGAGCTGTAGAACCATTGTAGGGTGAAACTTTGTGGTGGAGTGTGAAGGGTGTGATTGAGAGGCTGGAAAAAGGAATTCAAGGGGTAGAAAACAACAGTTGATGGCTGGGCAAAAGAAAACTGTAGAGCACTTGGTTAGGAAATAAAGAAAGTAATGGGTATAATGGTAGATGAGAAGCAGTATAGGCAGGGGTGTGTGTGTGTGTGTAAGCGTCATGTAAATAGGTGAGCGAGTGATAGAGAAATTTTCTTTTGTCCTTTTCATTATCCCTTAGAGGCTGTTTATCCAGTTAAGGCCTTGTAAGGGTACACGATGATCCTAACTGAACTAGATATATGAGAAGGTTAATGAGTATAAACTTGAGATGATACCTGATAAGTTGTATATATAGTACAGTATACTCTTCTTAATTCTTTCAGACATTGGGTAAGGTTGCTGTTTACTCCCAAATCCGGAAAGTTGTAGATACCAGCGCTCGTTTGATTGCAATACTGAATTACAAGATCCCAGTTACAACTGTTTCTTGCAGTACTGATCTTTTGATCCTCAACATATTACATAAAGTAAGTGTGTGGCATGTAAAACTTTATTTGTATCCATTTAGGAATTACCTCAGTGTGCTGTTTGTCTTTTGTATTAAATGGTGACTTGGTTGTGACAGGAAGATACCCTGTATAATGAATTTTTGAACTGGTCACAAGCTAATATCCAGGGGTCTAACTGGAACTCCACCTCCATGGAACATTGGTTATATTACACTGTATGTTCAGGGAAGGATGCCAGCCCCCCCCCCCCCAAAAAAAAAATAATAATAATAATAGGTTCTCCTTGAAGCTTTATTGGAGGTTGGGGCTTGGCTTGGTCCTGCCAACATAGCATGACTGCCTGGCTGGTTGAGTGGAGATGATCTTTATTAATTTTTGGGTGTAAGAGTGAGTTAAAAAATATTTCAGATATTTTTTGTAACAAATAATTGGGCTGGTATGAACTTTAGAAATTCAGTACAGTAATAGTTTAGGGGCTGTAATATTGGGCTTCAGAGTAGTGAGGAACTACTGTACTGTATTGAAAATGTTCAGTGTTCATCTGATAGAAAGGAAGTGTGATAGATTTTAGGCCAAGAGGTTTCTTTGTCTATTACATGTAATTACAAAAGTTTATTATTCCATTTAATAACCAAGTAAAGATCAGGTGATTCTGATTCATCCCTTCTCTCTTAGGATGTGGAAGTGAGGTGGGAACTGAGGAATTGATCCAGCTCCCCAGTTCCTAGCCAAGTTGGACTACAGAGTGTCTTTGTTGTAGTGAGGCAACAATCCCTAAACTTTCAACCTCTGGCCACTTACTTCATGGCTTGTGGTTGAGTCACTAGTGACACTACTTCTGGTTGTCTGTAGTTACTGGATTTCTGGATTAGTTCCAGTCACACCAGTGTACAGTAGGCTCCGATAGCACTTGGGGGTCAAACCCACAAACAGTTTGGTGTAATACTTTCGTCACCTGATCTAAGCTTGCTTATAAAATGGGATTTCAGGATTAATCTCATGTATGTATGTCACAAACTAAAGTCCTGTTGCCACTCCTACTGAACCACGAACCCCAAGATTCAGACTTGTGAGCCCGAAGCAGTAGACACGGATCCATTATTCTGTCAATAAATGCTTCGGATTCATGAGTCTGAATCTCAGTGTTCATGGTTCAGCAGGAGAGGTAACAGGAGTTTTGTTTGTGACTTTACATCCCACACAATATTAATTTTTCAGCTAATTTTTTAATGCTGCTCAAAGTAATTATTTTTTTGTGTCTAAAGGAAATATTATGGATAATAATATTTAAAAATGTTGCATACTGCCATGACAATGTTTCTTTCAGTTCCAGGAGCAGCTGATGGGGTATGGCATACTGGAACAGTTTCTGCTAGACTCTTTGTGTGGGGAATTTGTAACCTTAACTAGGCTGCTGCTAGAGAAGGGGTACATTGAATCCTTCCTCAGGTGAGAAAAAAAAACATATTCGTTGGCATTTTTAAGTAATTTTTTTAATTGACTCTACTTTATTTCACTGGTTGATTTATCCAGTGCACCACAAGCAGATGCCTCTACTCTGTTCTCTACCTAGTGGAAGCTGAGCTCTAATTCCTCCATACATCTATAATACAATACAGTACTGTATTTTAGACACTTCAGTTGATGAAAATATAGTCACATGGTTCTGGGTGTTTTGTGAGTCTCAGGTTGCATGGGTTTCTTTACATTTTCTCAACGACCCAATTTGAGGATGGCTGCTGAGAATGTTTGGTATGTTGAGACTTAACAATAAAACACCTGAATAATGGCTGTGTGCATCCAGGTGTGAGTGGGTGATCCACACCCCATCAGTCATAATTAGTGCTCTGCATGGTGGCTTTTGCTTAATGATATGACCTGACCCTGGTGGTTTGGGTTGATCCATGTTTGGTCTCAGTTAAACCTCTGCATCAAGGGATTCCTGTTTAAGCCTTTTTCGGACCTGGCTTACGGATTTCAAGGTTCCATGCTTCAGGCTACATTGGTACTGATGATCTGAGCCCATTGTAATATAGGCTCAGGGGATGTTGGTGAGGCATTCACCCTTCTTTTTGTTGATGCAGGTAGTGTAGTGAGAGGGTGGGGTTACCAACCCCATGGTGGTCTGGGACTAGTTGCACAATGATCAGATGGTGGAGTCACTACACTACCAATTCTTCACATCTTACAAATTTTGGATGGATCAGTTTGAAACAATCAACTTCAACATTACCATAAAAAATAAACTTATGTTTTTTGGTTACTGGGATAAAGGTTGCTGTTTACAGGGCTAGCAAACTGGTCATTTGAGTTATTGTGTTTGATAATGGTGTGTTGATTTTTGTCTCTACAGTAGAACTTTTTTCTCTGCAGGTCATCTGTAAACATTCATAAGTACTGGATGATAATGGTCCAGAACCTTAAGGAAACCAAGAATATTGACCTGACCTCCATAGAAGCTGTGCTCCATATAGTCACAAATTTCCAGGTAGTTTTATGCAGAAGTTATTTTTGGTTTTCTTTTCATGTTATGTCCATGTGTCTGGTGGTATGCGGATAGATGGGCCTTTTAACCTACAACTTTTTCCTAAATTTTTAATTTAGGCATCACATCATTTGTTACTCTGAATACTTTTACACCTTTGCTTTGATGTGAGTAGTGGATACTTTGAGAAAATGTTATACAGTACTAAGTTAACCTAGTGTTACATAGTAAAATGAGAGCACGTGTAGTTATATTCTAGGCCTGTACTTTGTATTAAATATTTGTATTCCAGTCTCACAAATACAGTACATCCAAAAACTTGTACATATTACAAAAAATGGAACATGATACAGCATTCAAAATATAAATACAGTATTATGAGTACTGTGCTTACCATTACAGACTGATAGAACACACCAAAACTGTTGGTGTAGGGAATGGGTAGAACACAGGCTGGCTTGAAGATTCTTGTAGGTCAGACTTTACTTCACTTAGTGGGTGGTGGTATGAACAGTAACATTACATCAAATGGGGGTGAGGGCAGTTCTGTGGGGCAAGCAGGGCTGGTGAGAGACCCTGGGGGGTAGTAGGGTTGGAAAGGTCCTTTAGGGGGAGAGCTGCTGATGTTGGATGAACTGACCAAGATGGAGGTCGTGGTAGCAGGAATTGGGGTAATTACTTATACAGTATCTTAAAAAAATTGCGGAGTGGATTGTCGGACTGTGGATTGCTTTTCCTTATTGACTTTTGTGTAATTAATCAAGTTGGTCGTGAAGGCCCTCTCCCGCTACAAGCTGTACTTTAGATGTAGATACGCATCAAACCCATCTGGACCATCAGGTTAGAGTATGTGATGACTTTTGCTTCTTTTTCTGGCTAGGGAAATCTCTCAGTTGATACTTACTGGCAAGTTGTGTAGATGGTGCCATTATGTGAGTACTGTAAGGAGAATGTTTGTAAAACAAAATGTGGTGGTGTGAGAGACCACTTGGTACTGGGAACGCCGCATGAGGACTGAGGATGGTGCAGCAGTTGTTATACGTGTGGTATGTGTGCTCCCAGGATGTTCTGCACCTCCCATAATGCTTACTGGGTGCAGGGCCGGGCAAAGTGGGCAGCTGCCCAGGGGCCTCCACGATCTGGGGGCCTCCACATATTACAATATTTTATTTATTTGTTTATTCATTTGGATTATTTTTATTTTTATTCTTTAAAATTCATGTTTATCTATTCCATCACGTCTCCAGTCATGTCTCACTTTTGTGTGTGTGTGTGGGTGTTGAGAATTTGTACACTATCAATAAATATACAGTTAATTAAAAATTTCTCAATGTTCTAATTTCCTCAATATAACTGCATATGGCTTCAAAATTCTCCAAAGAAGTGTTCAAATTTCAAAATTTTCCGGGGGGCTTACAGCGCCCCCCAGAACTCCCAGATGCTTAGGCTCGCTTCACTCGCCACCCCACCACCCTCTTGGGTAGTTATAATGAGGGGGGGCCTCCACAAAGAGGCTGCCCATGGGCCTCCACAGGTCTAAATCTGGCACTGACTGGGTGGGTGTGTGTCTTGAGTTAGAAGTGGGATGAACGACAGACCCTGGTCATTCAACCAGTGTGTGTGTGTATGAACCACTGTCAATAGAATCCCTGCAAAATACTGTACAGTATACCTGAGCAAAGAGAGGGACAGGTACATAAGAGTTTATAATGATTAATCCTCTAATATCATCTCACTTTGAATGTTTGAAGATAATGCGTCATAACTGGTGTAATTTCTTCAGGTAACTCCAATTTTGGTGTTGTATCAAACCTCGCTGGAGGAATTCTACAAGGAGTGTCCGGAGAAGATGAAGGTGATTGCAAAATGGGACGAGGAGATTCACAGCCGCATTAACATCAAGGATGACATCAAGGTAGGAGGATTAACCTACTCCTTTGTTATGCGTGTTCATCAGTTTTAGACCTAAATGTATTGTTAAACTAGAGAATAAGTGAATATACCCCAGAAGATTTATGCCAAGTACTATCGTGGACAAAAGTTCGCTCCCCACGGTGAAACTGAGTCACGGGAATGAGTCTCCGAACTGACTTACCCTAACTGTCATCTGGTGCGGGTGTGCTGTTTTATCTCATTTGGGGTCGACACTGCTTCAGTTTGGGAGGGAGCGAACTTTTGTCCACGATAGTACTAGCTACAATATTCATTTTACGATCAGATCGGTTTGCTTTCTTTCCGACTCCATTTGTTAATGGATTTTTGAGAAACTTCATTATGCATTTACTCTTAGTATAACCCTTGAATAATGTCCTTTTCTGTCCAGGTTGAGGCCTCGAAGTTGGAGAAACAGATCTTGGAGACGTTAGACAGAGATCCAAAGGAAGCAGTTCGCATGGCTATTGTCTGCATCTCGGCCATTACAGGCGCCAATGAATATCTTAATCCAGTAAAATGTTTAATTATTTTCATTGCCATAAGAAATATTAAACATTTTCTTATTTTAGAATACTTGACAAAACTTTAAATTGTACAAGCTTGACTAAGACCTTCTAGGTACTGTATATAGAGAAGCTTGTAGAAAGAGTTGTTTGCATATCAATGTATAAACTTGACCTTCCAGTACTTCACCAAGTTTAATAACTTATTGCATCTTCTACAAGTAACTTCATTCTATTTTCTTGCAGCCTATAAAATCATTAATTCACATTAAAAGAAGAAAAGAGGTATTTTTTATTACCAGTACAGAGTACATACTGTACAATACATGCTAATCTTCTCTTATTGCAGACGTGTGCAGTGACGGTGTTCCAAGGGATGGTGTTCCTCCTTGGTGCACAGGACACTGCCAGCTCCTCCATTAGATACAACACGGCCCTACAGAGAGCAGTGATTGATGGACTGCGTGTGTTGGTGGAAAAGTGAGGTTTGGCATCATTTTTATTTATTATTTATTTATTTTTTAAGCTGTGCCAACTTGTACAGGTTTTGTATGAGTTATATTTTTTATTTAATGAAATAATTTGGATGTTTCTCTATTTATAAACATAGCAAAGTTCATACACAGATATAGTACACAGCTTGAAGGTGTACAGGAAGCACACAGCATTATAATGTCATCATGTGTTGAATTATATAATAATAAAACATTACAGTATTTTGAAAAAAATTCTGTTGCCTTTCTAACTCTGAAACATTTGGAGATTTCTGTATTTACTGTCCTGTACTGTACTGTATTTACTTCCTCTCCTTGGTCACCTCCCAGTGTCAGATCAGTACAGTGAAGTGTTCTGATGTAATGTTACCAGGAATCTTTAGTACTACAGTATATGGTAAGATGTAATTATAAACAAACACGAGGACCTTTTCAAAGCTTCATATTTCTGTAATTTCAGATTTAACATTGACTGGAGAAAGTGTTTTGCTTCTGTGTGTTTGATGGCCAAACTGTGTGACCTTGTGAATATTCCAGGCATCTCTACACAGGTAAGTGATGGTACCGAATACTGTACAGTCAGCATCATGATCACCATAGTGCAGGCCGTCCCCAATTTATGAAGATCCAGTTTACTGAAAATACACGAAACACTAATGTATCCCAAATTACGCTACGGTAGGGCAGGGGTACTCAAAAGATAGATCAATTAAACACATGAGGCATATGCTCGGTAATAATATTGCTATTCTTGTTAAATTTAGGTACGTGTCTGCTTTGGAAATACAGTAATGAAAAGAGTAATTTATTGTGTAATGAGAGTTTTTCATGATATCATTTATTCAGAGGGGTGGTTCATTTGATGATCACTGGCCATGCTAGAAAGGGTCAAAGGGTCATGGAATAGTGGACGAAACCCAAATCCTATCCTGGTTCCATCTGACAACCTTATGTTGTTTTGTGTCAGAGCAATTTTAGTAGTGTGAGTGATTGTTCTGCCAGTATGTATGTAACAGTAGTTCCAGGTTGTAACATATTTTGACTTTGTAGGATTCCCCTTTCTATTATTCAGTGCATGTGTTGTTTATATGTTTTTGCAATACAATACAATACAGTACAGTAGTGTATAAAAGCAAGTGAATAATCCCTAATAGCTACACAGTGTACTGGTATATATTGATTTTACATGGAAGAGCTGAAACCTCATTCTTGAGATAGAGTTAACTAAAGGTGTAGAGGACATTACTGGTATTTAAAGGCAGCTGTGATAATGAAGTAAGGGTGTGTATTAAGTGTGTTTACTCCTCCTCCTCCCAGGTGAAGGTGTGTACGCTCAAGGCTATGAACTCCTGCATCATTGGCTTCATCCCCCCTGTGATGTCCATGTTGGTGAACAGTGAGGACCTGGAGCATAACAGTGTGGAAACTATGGGCAGGGTGAGTGCTTGACTGTACATTATTTGTATTAGGAAACAACCTTTAGTTCTTGAAAGAAACTTAAAACTATGATGATAACAGTGAATAGCGCCAGTACCCATCACCGTGCAATCGTAGTGCCTCACTGGTGCGTAAAGTCATCTGTCGCATGCAGCAAAGATTTGTTTTCAGTTGCCATTTCGTGTTTTTTGGAGTGTGTAGTAGTGACTTCTTAGTACAATGAGTACCGATTTTAACAATAAAAGCTGAGTGAGTACTGTACAAGCACTATGAATTTGAGAAAACTATAATGGTTACATGTGAAAAAATTCACTCAAAAAGATTTCCTAAATATTCCCTGCTGAAATATGAGTGTATCTTATGTACCGTAAATATGGTAGATTGTGGCTTTGACTTTCCTGGTACACACTAAGGTATCTCTATCTGTCATACTCTCTCACATGATTATTTAGATGTTTGTTTACATATTACAGGCATTGACCATCTATCTAGGTGACCGAGAATGGGAGGTGAGGGACTCTGCATTAGAAACCCTCATCACCTGCATGAAGTTGGCCAAAGAAAGTAAGTGATGTACTGAAACCTGTACCTGTATACCTGTACCTGGCCTCTTTGTAACGTCTTCCTCTCTATGACAAAACAGAATGGAGTTGGGATGTTGATGTAATGTAATGTAACCATAGTTAACACCGACAGATATTTTAATGTTTTGAAAAGTGTTAGAAAGGTGTTGGTATGACTAGTGTAAAAACTGACATTAGGCCGAGTTCAGCAACAGTTATCCTTCTGGAAAATGCTACAGTTAGGTAAAACTTGTTTGTAACTGCTTGAAATTAAATGACTGAGACCGACCAGTCAGGTAAAGTGAAAATCTGATGCTAGTAGTGGAGCGTACTTAGAGGTTGATAATTTATACCTGTTCTATAAGGCTACCCCAAGTTTAAAAAAAAATGGAGCTTCTACAGTTGACTTATAGGCTGCAATATACGGTAAACATGTGGCCTTACCAAGGCTGGAGAAACTCAACATTAGGCATATGTTCTTGGACAATGTAGATGAGTTCTGCTACTTGGGTGACAAGATCTGTGCCGATGCCAGCTAATTTGCAAGAGTCAAAAGTGGCTGAAGGAAGTTTAGGGAGTTGCTCCTTTTATTGATGGCAAGAGGACCTTCCCTCTGAGTAAAAGGAAAGATGCTTGTTACTTGGTGGTTAAAGAGGGTAACATATGCAGGCTTGAGTGTGCTGAAATGATATTGGTGAGGTGGATGTACAGTGTGACACTAAAAGATATGATACCCTGTTAAGAGCTAAGATTGCAGATAGGTATTGAGAGCATTGGCAAAGTTTTGTGTAGAGGTAGACTGGGATGGTTTTAGCATGTAGAGAGAATGGATGAGGCCAATTTGGTCAACATATGCAAGAGTAACTGTGGAGGGGAGGAGAGCCAGGGTAGGCCAAAAAGTAGGTTGTAAGAAATGTCATCAGAGTTATGAATGATGAGGGAGGCTGTAAGACACCACACAGCATGGGGAGCTGCCATCAGATAATTGCAGCTAGCCTATGCAACTGTGCAATATGGCCATAAGTCATTGATGATAATGATGATGATCTGATATAATATGAAATGCATTACAATTAACTACAATTTTATTTTCTAGAATACCCTCACTTTGTTGACTGGATGTTGCGGTACAAACTGAACCTTGCTGTCATGACTGCACTGGGGGATGTTGAAGGCTATGTGAGAGCCAGTGCCTTCACTGTCTTGGCAAATATTATATCCATTGATAAGGTAAGTTGTTTTAAATCCATTGTGGGTAAAACTCCTGATTGATACTTAAAAAAGAAAAAGATTTAAAGAAAATATTTGATGTGGATATGTGTTGCATAGATTTTTGATCATCTTGTGTTTCACCTTCATAAATCTTCAACATCAGTGTCATTGTACCTCAGCTGAAGCTCTTTATCACTTGATGTTCTTTCATTTTTTTTTGTCAACTTGTATCTTCCCTGGGTAAATGTTATGCAATAGTTTATTTGGGTCAAGGTTTGGGTCTTATTGTACTGCACTTCTTTCCATTGTTGTTCACAGTATTATTTGGATTTCTGCATTCTTTATGTTAAGATGATCTATGACCTATTCATTTTACTATGTATTTGTTACTAAGTACAGCACAGTGCGGGCTGCACTTGTATGTTTTCCACTGAGGCTCCTGAGATAATTAGGTATAAATAGCTTTTTCTTCTTTGGAGTACAGTACTGCACAGTATTTCCAAGCTTTAATCTGCTTAGTGAAACATAAATTATTGGTGATAGAGTTTGCAATTTTCAGAATTGATTGTTGACAGATGTTTGTGCTGAACTTCACCCATGAGTTTGTCTTTACCTTTATTCTTTCTTCATATGTTTAGAGATCTCTCTCTTTGAAGCAAATATTGGAAACTTTTTTTTCTAGTTGGTGGTTAAAATCATGTAGATAATTTCCTGCATTTGGAGCTTTATGGGCAAAGTAACTTTTATTATTAAATGAAAATTTCTTTCTCTTGTGCATGGAGTCGAGTAGAAGAAAATCTTCTCAGAAGGAGTGTTGGTTTCTTTTTTGGGGGGTTCTCTGTTAGATGGATCAGTGTTATGTCAAGGTGATTGGAGGGATGTGCACTGCTGATGTGACAATGAATCATTCGCATTGTGCTTTAAATTATGACTCCTATTTCTGAGAGAACCCTATTCAGAAGTGTTTTGGATTGGGAAGGTGAAACTAATTACTTGATGAGACCCATATCAAGATTCTAGTTGGTTGGTGTGGGTGTTAACCCTGCAGATGTCTCTTAGTTTATAACATGAGTCACCCACTCTGGCTTGGGTCATAAACTGGGACACCAGGTTCCACCCCTCCATTCCTGCAGGAATGTTGGTCAGCAGAGTGTCAAGAACTTTCGTCTATTAAAAATGAATCTGCGGAAAAAGGATTTACCAATTGTTTCTGCCCAAATAATAGAATGGTAAGATTTTCCTTGGTAACTGAATGCAGTGAATATCACTTGACCTTAAACACTTAAAATACGGGTGTTGGTTGCTAACCAATTTACATTACTTACATGTGGGAAGACTGTGAAGTGAATGCTGGCCAAAGTTATTACAGAGATAGTGATGCTTTTGTTGGACTAACAGTTAGAGTGTGTTGGGAAATAAGGAAATTTACCTCTGTTCAATATATATAATGACAGTGTGGAAAGTGAATTGAAAGGGCAGAGGGAGAGATTATGTATATAAATCTTAGATGTGGAAGATGACATACAGCATTATAAGGCAAGCATACTGTCTCAATGCAAGAATACTGTCACGAGGCAAGAATACTGTCACAAGGCAAGAATACTGTCAAGAGGCAAGAATACAGGGGTACTGTCACAAGGCAAGAATACTGTCACGAGGCAAGAATACTGTCACAAGGCAAGAATACTGTCGAGGCAAGAATACAGGGGTACTGTCACAAGGCAAGAATACTGTCACGAGGCAAGAATACAGGGGTACTGTCACAAGGCAAGAATACTGTCACGAGGCAAGAATACAGGGGTACTGTCACAAGGCAAGAATACTGTCACGAGGCAAGAATATGTCACAAGGCAAGAATACTGTTACGAGGCAAGAATACAGGGTACTGTCACAATGCAAGAATACTATCACGAGGCAAGAATACAGGGGTACTGTCACAAGGCAAGAATACTGTCACGAGGCAAGAATACTGGCAAGAATACTGTTACGAGGCAAGAATACAGGGTACTATCACAATGCAAGAATACTATCACGAGGCAAGAATACTGTCATGAGGCAAGAATACTGTCACAATGCAAGATTACTGTCACGAGGCAAGAATACTGTCACAAGGCAAGAATACTGTCACAAGGCCTGTCACAATGCAAGAATACTGTTACGAGGCAAGAGGGGTACTGTCACAAGGCAAGAATACTGTCACGAGGCAAAAATACAGGGGTACTGTCACAAGGCAAGAATACTGTCATGAGGCAAGAATACTGTCACAAGGCAAGATTACTGTCACAAGGCAAGAATACTGTTACGAGGCAAGAATACAGGGGTACTGTCACAAGGCAAGAATACTGTCACGAGGCAAAAATACAGGGGAACTGTCACAAGGCAAGAATACTGTCATGAGGCAAGAATACTGTCACAAGGCAAGATTACTGTCACAAGGCAAGCACACTGTCACAATGCAAGAATACTGTTACGAGGCAAGAATACAGGGGTACTGTCACAAGGCAAGAATACTGTCACGAGGCAAAAATACAGGGGTACTGTCACAAGGCAAGAATACTGTCATGAGGCAAGAATACTGTCACAAGGCAAGAATACTGTCACAAGGCAAGAATACTGTGTAAAAGTAGCTTAACCTTAAGTCTACAGTACATGTACAGTTGGTATATACTATACACAGAGTAGTGACATCTCCACACATACTGTATACAGCATATGGCTCTGTTGAAAGATGTCATGGCTAAGGCTAAAAACAGCATTTATGATTAGTCACCCTCACTTCCTCACCAACTCAGAGAGTACAGTAATGTATATACTTGCCAATATGTTCCTCTTTATTGGGTATCATCATCGAGTGCAAGAAGTCTGTCTGGAAGACCCCCGATCACTCTATGATTTTCATCGCCTGAACTTGGCCAAGTATCAGCAGTTAATACACCTAGAGATGCCAATCACAGCCAAGAATCCATATTTACTTGGAGAATGTAGAGTTGACAGTTAGACTCCAATGTCACTATCTTGTGTCAAATGATGTCTCATTGCGATTTCTATTTTAGCATAAATGAGGCTAATTTATGAAGGGTATAATCTGAAATAATACTTTAGAATTACAAAGGTCAATACTGTACAGATGACAGAGAATCCACAACTTGCAGACAGTAAGAACCGTTGACTGATCTGCATGTCAACTTTTGCCGTGGCAACTGGGCGTTGTTTTTTCTGACAGACAAAATTGCTGGAATTGTTGATTTCCCGTCAATACTGTATTTGGCATTTGTGACAGTGCCTTAATACTCACTGTTGTTCAGGTTATGTGGTGCTGCTGTTGGTATTGCATCAGGTAACTACTACTTATTCTCACTTAATTCTTTGCTTCTTCTATCTGCAGCCATCTTCTCTCCTGTGTCTCACCACTGATACTACTGCATATAGTCATCTGCTACTACCATTGCTTACAAAATATTAATTCAATGCTGTTAATATGCTACCTTATTCACCTCTCATCATTGTTATATGTGATGTGTTTATTATTTTACTGTACTTCTTAATTCTTATTCTTATATTAACTGTCATATCAATTATTTATCTTCTATTTTATTTACTTTTTATTTTAATTTTCCTAGTTGTGGTTTTGGCACTGCTTCTTCCTTTATTACTTCATCATTTCTCTGCCCTTTTCTTGTCCTTTTTATTTCCTCTTTCTCTTCCCCTGCCATCTCTTCTTTCTCATATTCTTTCTCATTTTCTCACTTCTTGTTTCTCCTCTGCCATTTCTTCTCCTTTTATCCTCTTCTTTCTTTATTTTCTGTTCTTTCTAATCCTTTGCTTCATAATCTTGTGTATTCTGCTTTCCTCATTTCTTCCTTATTTCCTGTTCTCCATTTTCTTCACCTCATTCTCATTTTCTTTTGTCATTTTACCCTGTTTGGAGTATATAATGTAAATTAATCTGTAGTATATCTCTTCTGTAAGTGTGTGTGTGTGTATCTGTAGGTGTATGCAGAGTTGAAGGCGGAGAGTCTGCCTCACCGCTCCCTGGCATTTGTCCTGCGGGAGGGGGAGTCACCGGTACGGAGGGCTGCCGTGACCCTAGTACAGGAGCTCTTCTTAGCAGGCAAATACAGGTATGATTATGTGTATTGTTGCTGCAGAGATTATAATCAATGTAAGGTAATGTAAGGTAATATAACGTAATAAAAGTGTAAAACCAATCAAGAGTTTTAATTTTTTTTTTTTTTTTTTTTGACTGGTGTATTTGCATTTTAAGTGTAGGAGTTGAAGACCCTGGTTATAGCCCTCAACATGATGGCCAGAACTAACTCAGTGGTTATTATTCCTTCCTTTCATATTCAAGTCTCTAAGAGCTTAAGGCAGTGAGTGTTATTGTCACTTTACACTCTGCCACCCTCACTTGGCTTTAGTAACAAGCCATCATTTCCTGGGGTCATTTCTTGGTTTCAGTCACTTGTTCAAACTAAGTAAACATCTGTTTGTATTTTATCTCTTGTCAGGAGGCAAATGATTGATATTATACAAATGCTTAGTAAGAATCACAATTAGTCTAGTCATGTTTATATTCTCAAGTCATTGTTTGATATGGTGCTCACTCTCATTCTGGATTATTTTATTAAATCTCAAATTAAAAACACAAAAATGTCTTTAAAAATGTTATGATTGCTGAGAATAATTGTATAATTTTTATCTAAATTGTCTTTATTTGTCTTTTACTTGTTGGAATCAGTGAGGAAGAAGTGAATGGTTTGGTTGTGAGAGTCATCCAGCACTCAGCAGAAGACCAGGATGATGAGGTGCGGATGGCATCTCTTGAGTTTATCCACTCACACATCCTTTGTGCTCTCAACAATTCAGGTACGTATAAGTAAAGACCTCAATAGGTGATGTAATAATAATAATACCACTGGTGTTCTGAGTCAACAGTCTCACTTAACAGCTGTGCACCACTAACCTGAACACCTACTGTACATATCTTGAAAACATTTTATAATCAAGTATTGGAACATATCTGGATGTTAGCCTCATGGAAGGAGACAGTCTGAGATACATTATTTGTAGAGATAAGTGAATGTTCTCAATTTGAATAAACTACTCTCATGATTTTGAACCATGCCAATAATTAATAAGGGAGTATAGCAGTGTCTTGCTGCTTATGTGTTTAAAATGTAGCAGATAAGGTTTGTTTTTAACCCCTTGTGTATGGTGTTGCTTCCCAAGTTTATATAAGGCAGGCAAGTATGTTTATATATTGTTATTGTCTGTAAATTGTGGAGTGAAGGACATTTACAAATTTCAGGAATGGTTGATGGAGAATTCCCCTCTGTGATATTTAGCAAAGGCAAGATTATAAAACTGGACAAGGAAAAAGTGAGGAGTCGTGTCCACAGTGTTCTTACCTGGTAAGTCATTACATCACTAACCATGATGAATGTGTGTTTCTCCTTATTTTGTGGTTATATAACTTGTTACAAAATACAGTCCTACCCACTTTATGTAGTACTGTACAGATACTTTACATGTGTTCCTGTAAAACACTGTATACTGTATTATGTGAAACTGTTATATGGAGCATATTTTCCCAGTGGTTTGTATGTACAGTATTAACTGAAGATGCATTACCAACCAATGATTTTTGTCTGTGTAACATAACAAACAAAAACTACAAATACCATACAAATAATCCCTGTACCTGTGAGTAGTGCATGTGTGCAGTAGTCAGAGGAAGTCCAAATGAATGTACTGTACAATGGTGACCAGCTTATCACCAGCATTGTAGCATGGTAATTGAAAAACTTACACATTTGTATTGATGATATTACAGGTTTTGTGAGTGTGGTTACCTGTGCTCCCTGCTGGCTTGTATGAAAGATCTGGTGACAAACGTGGCAACCAAGGCCCTAGGGATCCTTCACTTTATCAATGAACTCATCACCCGCTATGACATACATATGGAAAGCAGTGTCAAAAATAGGTTTGTGTCTTGTTTATTATTTCTTTGAATCGTGCCTCTTTTAATGTTTTATTTGGCTAACTCCAGATGATTTCATTCAGCTCAGATGGGACTTCATACACAAGGGGTTAATTGGTTATTGGTGCTGGTATGGGTAAGCATCACTCTTCTATAACACAATAGTCATTTGACATAATACTGAATGAGTTGTGTAACACTTTAACTGTATCCCATAGTTAAGTTTTGCAGCCATGTGTGTAAATAAAGCTGGAACAAGTTATTTTTTAATACAGGTAATCTTAATATTTTTCAACCTTGTCCAGAATGTTTGTTTTTTGTGATGTTTGAATTAATTATTATTTTTATTTAATTATTTATTTATTTATTTATTTATTTATTTATATATTTATTTTTCAGGAGAGTATCAGGCAATGATAATTCAAACAGAGGGATCAGGGAAAAGATGAAGGCAGAGAAGCCAATTTTTGTAAACGTCACCAGACACGATGTCAACATTCCTGAAGATGAAATCGACAAAACCATCAGTGAAATTCTCAGTTCCTCATCCCTGGAATCAGTGACAATGTAAGTTGAAGCACCTTGCATAGTCGTTTCTCCTGACGAAGTGATGATGAAGAAGTTCTGTGCTTTTGTTTCTTGTATGTTTAAGAGTGGCTTGGTGTGCATGATATAATCCATTCTTGTAGTTTTCTTGTCTACACTGCCTCTCTTCCTTGGGATCATGGCAGAAGAGGGCCATTCTAATGTTTTACAGTATATATCCTTCATCCTCTCCTTAACATATTTCCCCTCACTTACAATGTAGCTGGTCGCCCTCATCTTAGCACACTTGCTACACACTTGTCATCTCAGTATTTTATGTAAGGCGTGGTCGAGTATGTTCCTCTCCCTGAACACACTGCCATCATAATATTTTATACACTGTAAGGCATTACAGAAAGGGATGGGCCATCACATTATCAAATACAGTATAGGTTAGTAGATAAACTCCTGTTACCATAAGAGTAAGAGTTAGGATGCAGTTGGTTGTCTCAGAGCACCTAGTGAGGCAGACAGTGCAGTGGGTGAGTGAGAGTCTCTGTTAGGATAAAGGATTTTAGGTTCACTCCTTTGTTTATTAATTTATTTATGATTTACTGTGATTTTTGTCTAGTAATATTCCCAGGAAAACCCCTTGTTTATTTCTTAATTATATTTGTCATTGATTTTGACACTTGTTCCAATGGTTTATTTTTGTAGATGAAAAAAAATGAAAACTTATGAATGTTTTAAAAAAAAAAAAACTCTTGTTTTACCTTCCATTGCAGGATTAAGCGACCTTTCAGTGAATCGATGGATACCTCTAATCTCTACTCTAGAAGTTTCCTGCTGACGCTTGATGACGTTCCATCTGCAAATCCACCGCTTCCACTCTCCTGTCTCTTGCAAAGCATAGATAGTCTGTGTCAGAGCAAGAATACCAGTCAAGGTGAGATAGTGATGGTGTACAGCAAAGGTGTCTCATAGGTTCTTCTCTCTCTCTCTCTCTCTTTCTCAAAATATTTTCACTTAAATGGCAGAAAAGCCAAACTCACACCTTGAACTGTGATGTCTAAGTACAGTACCAATACTGTATGTTATAACTATGGAAATCAGGCTTCAATTTTCCTCTCTTCAACTGTTGTGTCTCTCAGTAAGGAAGAGTATGAGTGATATGCCAGTCATGCCTTAAGAAACAGCTTTATTTACTGTTTCATGAAGGAACAGTAATTAACTAAAATTATACTGTACCTTAATTATCAGTGCTGTTTAATGATGGTTGTGCCAGTTACCTTAACCCTTTGTGTATGGGATTCCTTCTGAGCTGAATATTAAAAGTAGCATCTCCATAGTTTAGAGGTTGAAGCAAGCATCTGTCACCCTTTTATAATTTAGAACTTGTGCTTTTTATTTCACTCGAAAAGTTAGTAGGAATGATACTTTAGGTAACTTATGATGTAATATTAAAGCTATTATCTTATAGCTGGTTGCCCTGTTTATGCTGTCAACTGTTCTATGACTGTCTACAGTTACCGGTATATAGATAGGATCCACTATATGTACCTATATCTACCGTAAACCTATGCACTACTATAGCTGCAGTAATCATCTTCTAACAGTGTTCAATTTTAGTATTTTTTCTTTGCAGATGACAGACATCAGATTAATGACATATTATCATTACTGGATGACATTCTTCTGGATGGGGACAAACAGCAATCTCATGCCGACGACCAGCGGCTACGGGACTGTTACTGAGAGCCTTTCCAACTTAAAGAGGAAATATGTTTCATGGTAATCAAGGAAAACAGTTAAACGTTCCATGATTAAGGACAAAGAGATTCTGTATAAAAGCACTGGACCAGATTTGGAAATATTTTTGAACTTCCAAATTGTTAGACTGGAAACATCGTCAGTACCGTGGTTGGATATAGGTATGTGCTGGCCTTCATAAGTTGTTTAAAATACTGCAGTGTATCAGATGTTTTAGTTCTGCACAATAGAGACAACTTTTTAGCACTTTGCTTCATGGAGGTCTATCAGTTACATGCCCGGATAAGTCGGAGTAGTCTGTCAGGTACTGTATGCAAAAACCGCCCACTCTCGGTCGCTCTGCGTCTGTTCACTTACTTCATTATTTTTTTAAATATCTTTATTATTATAAACTCATTAGTTAGGCAAAATCTTACTAAAGAGAATTGTATTATACAGAATAAAAATAAAAATAATGTAGTCTTTATACAATTTAAGGAATATAAGTGGAATACATGTTGCTCCGACAGACTGCTGGTACACCCGAGCGATGTGTATTAGTGTCAGAAATGAGTAAGCAGTTAAGATTTAACTGAGTGGTTGTGATTTTGATCTGACTCTTCTGCAACTCAAATATGACAGAAAGCATTAAGTTGAAAGACATGGATGGCTGTGAGAATGTCGGAGTTTGCTGATTATTTACTATAAAAAAAAATTCTTGTCGTGGACATTCTGGTTTATTGTGTGTGTGAGTGTGTGTAAGGATGTTATTATTATGTGATGATGACTGATGATCGGTAATTGTGATCAAAGAACGTACATACATAACCAGTAATATTACTACAGTTCTGTACAGGGGTTTTATATGTTTATGTTCTTGGAAAATAATGTCATTTAACATTTTAGCATTCCATATTTACTGTTCTTTTTTATCTTAAGTTTTCTGTAGTCCTTCTAAGGTTTGCATTGGATTTTGACATTGAAATGGGGAGAGATTTATTTGGTCTTAAATTTTTGGGAAGTCAGACGTGTATTGGCTGTAGCCTGGTTTAAATGTTATGACCTGAGGTACAAGTAAGGTAAATAAACTCTGAGAAATATTTTATTGAGTTAGACAAACAAGAAGAAATTCTTCAAGAGTTAACTTGTGGCCAGTCCAATGTGATGATTAGTTTTAGTTGCTGACTCTTGTCTAGTTTTTTAAGTTTATATTTTGTATTATTACAGTACAGTAGTACCCCGATTTACGAGGTCAATTGAACCCACAGGGGTACCGCGGAAAGTGAAAACCGAGTGAAAACCGCGTAAAGTGTACAACAGAACATATGGGATTAATTCCAATAGAGACTGGCCCTACCCCCAAACTCCACTTTTCCGACACAATACCTATGTTGTAGTAAAAATAACATCTTAATTTTATGATGGTATGCTCACACAATTAATATTTATGAGAAATACAGTCGCCAGGTTAATGTCCATTCAAATAATGGACTCAAATCCCCCCCCTCCCCCCCCCTCTTCCCAGCTCACTAGCTTCTACCTCTCTGAGAAATGTTTGGGTGAAACACTAGATTTTAACTTTTAGTAATAAATAATACCTCAGACTAAAGTTAGGATAATATAATTGACATTTCTGGATTCCTTTCAGGTCAGGGAATATTTTGAATGTAAACTTCATATATTTTGCACAAACGATAAAATATTTGCTTTGTGTAAACCAAATTATTACATTAGATCTAAAATTTGTATGTCTAATGCAAAATCCATGATGTTTATATTCAAAATGATCATCATATTGTAAGAATTCCAGCAATGTAAATTATATTCTGGCCAGGTAATTTGTATGAATTTTATGAGCTAAACAAAAACAAAAAATTATACTTCACCGCGTATATGAGTAGATGCACCGCAGAAAGTGAAAGTCTGGTTCTGGCAAGGTACCGCGTATATGAGAAATCGAGAGAAATCGAAATCGCGGAAAGTGAAACCGTAAGTGAAATCGTGTAAAGCGGGGTAATACTGTACAGTATTTTTGGGGGGAGGAGGACATTTTCATTTTGTGTATTAATGTGTAAGAAGTATAGACTGGAAATACAATGCAAAGTGATGCATTTCATTAGAGGTACATTGATTATAATCCACTAACGCCAACTACAGCTGAAGACACATCTTTCACTGAATTTTTTTTTCTTCCAAATTTTCAAAAGTTTGTATAAGATTAGTGAAAGACCTTGTCACATGCTGTAAATACCAAATAATACACCATCATTTTAGTTAGTTCTTGCCTGTGGAGTGTTGTTAACAAATTGCAACAGCTTAAGAGAGAGATCATATATTAGGGAGCTTTGTCTAAGGGGATGGGCCATTGCTTATGATGTGTTTGGTACAGAAAAGAAAAACGAATATTTTGGAGGAGAAGGTAAAAGAATAGTTAAGAAGTACAGTATATTGAAGAGTATCCTGATCCAGGAAAAAGTGATTAACACACAAATGGATATAAAGTTGATACAGTATTTTCTAATTTTTTTTAAAAGAAGAAATTAAATTATGATCCCCCTCACACCATCACTACTACCATACCACCACTACTCTCACCATAAGTACCACTACTACCAATCATCATCACATACTACTACTAATCATCATCTTACAACCACCACCATACTGCCACCATACTATCACTACCACCACCACCACTTATCAGCTTACTAGCAGTTCGGGTAGTTGTTCTCTCCTCTGTTACAACCTTCATTATCCAGTGTCGAGTTATTCTAGTTCTTGTAAAGGGACGTAAGGGATTACCTATTTCCATTATTAAGGTCAGAATGGAGTTGACAGATTCCTCTGTTGTTAAATTTTGTTAATGACCTGATGGATATTTTTTATGTGAATTGATTTATTTGTCATTGAAGTACTGTACAGAGTATTGCATTTCTTTTAATTGGTATCTGTTATTTTTGTGATATAGAGTAATATTTCTGAAAATAAATGCTGGTACAGTACTGGGATTTATTGTATGTTATATTTTGCTTTGTTTTGGTAGAGGAGATAAGATTTCTTTCACACTCCAAATAAAATGAAATTGAATCTGTTATATTTATCATTGAGTAGAAGTAAGATAGTTAAATAGGGGTGCTACTGTACAGCTTTAAGAAACAATATTGGAAGAAAATAACACAATGTGACTCCATTATGACCCCCAAAAATATCATATGACAGTGAGGTGGTTGGGGGAAAGGCTTTTTTTTTTTTTCTCATGCATTAAAAGACAATTCTGTAATGTATATCTCATGGATGACTTATATTCAGATATATGGGCTGGGCTTACCTTATACCATGGATAAGACAGTTACTTTATTTAGTCCTTATTAAGAGGAGAGTGAAAAGTAATAATAATAATACAATACTATTACTGGTATACTGTTTCCAATGTTACATAGGAAGTGCAGGTATACAGGTACAACAATAGTATAAGATTCATGAAAATACTTAGGATGATAGTAAGTGATATGAATTAGGAGACTCAAGCTGCTGTATACTGAAACTGAAACCTTACTTGACAACAGAGGAAATGTTCTCGGGGGCATTTGAGTGATTGATTGTTTATGAAAAATTCTTTGTTTATACTTGAAAATGAACTGTACGTTGTGGCATTATCTGGTAAGTACCGGGTAACATGGACTTTTTGGAATTGGTCTGGCATTTTGGTGGGCCATAGTACTGTACAGCTCTTCCCCGACTTACGACCTACTCGACTTACGACCACCCGCACTTACGACCTGTGTCAGTCGTACCAAAATTTGGTTAAATTACGTATTTTCGAGTCCCAAAGTCAGTACACAGACAAAATTTTTGTTTGTAATTCACTTTAAAATGGCTGGCAAGCTTAAAAGTGAGTGTTTTGTGGTGCTGAGAAGAAAAAGAGACACCCATTTTAGATTTTCTATGTATTATTTAAGCATTTCCGACTTACGACCATTTCGACTTACGACCTGGATGTCGGTCCCTAACCCCATCATAAATCGGGGAGGAACTGTACTGTAGTTTGTTTTAACATAGAGGTATTATACAGTTGCTACAGTGTTTCACTAACAACCTGGTGATGCCTGGCCTGGAGCTGTAGACGTACAGTAGTTATCACTTATACAAGACCTTAGAGATACCATAACTCATCAGACCTAACCATAGTCATCTTGTAACGATGTTTTACTTCTGTGCCGAACATATGCATACAGTCACCCATAAAAAGTATCTTTACCATTTTGCATTAGACAATGTAATACAATGGATGAAGGATTTTGACAACCCTACCGAGACAACAGTGTTCATTTTAAAATTCATCGGACCACTGTGTAAAGATACTTTTTGGAGTGTGTACACCTACTTCTTTTATAGTTGACTCTATAAGGTAACTCTTTAGAATACTGTACAATGTTCATGCTTAGTCTGAATCATTACACTTGATGGACATTGGCCTCAAGGATGTGACACCCTATTTGCTGGTGATAGTTTTCTGCTGAATAATTGATGTTAACTTGATGTTATTAATTTATCTATTATTATCTTGTAGCATCTTGAAAGAGAGATTCACAAAAGAGTTTAATTTCCTATTAGGGTTTTTTTTCTTTATGTAAGGAAATCTGTATATACAGTACAGTACTTCAGTCCTGTGCTTTCTGTTGCTAAGATCATTTGCAGAAATTTGAAAAAAATACAGTAATTCTAACTTGTTATGCCAGTGTAGGGTATTGAGGTTCCATGTCAGGTATTTGTATTACTAGTTTAGTATTGTGAAAGGAAGCATAGCCATAGTATAGTATTTTAAAGTTATGGTAATGGTTAAGGGAAGACTTTATGCACCTCTCAACTTAGAATGAGAGACACAAAATATACAAACACATAATACTTATGTACATCATTAACTACTGTACTTGTTTACTTCACCAGATACTTGGGTGTGGTTTAGTTGTTGTAGTCTGAGTAAGAAAAGATTACTGTACTGTTTGTGGCTAAAGGATCATTGAGATTTTTTTTCTTTTCACTGCCAGGTTTCTCACTCTCAGTACAGTACAGGGGTGTTTGATCTGGTTCATGGAGGAGTGTTGCTCTGAATGCATCTCCTAAATAAAGTTTGGTTAAATGTATTGAATGTCTTTAGAAACTGAATACAAAACGATTATGTAAATTTATATTGCAACTCAATGGATAATCTGTGTCCTCATATGATGCTGTACTTGCTGGACTGTAGAAAAAGAGAGTAATGTTTTTAAATGAGTTTTGAGATTATGAATACGAAATCTAACTGGTAAATAATATTGAAGAGGACTTATTAGTGGTTTAATGTTGTGGAGGTCTGTTAGGCAATGTCATCATTTACTACTTTTAAATTTCCATGTACTGTACTGTACTGTACTTGAGTAAGAGAAGACCAGGGGTGTACAGTAATCAATTGAGTAAACTGTATTGTCATTATACTAATACCTGTAATAGTTTTATTTACTGTACTGTATTACAATTCTACATTTGAAGTTAAGTGCCTTAGTAAATCAAATTTTTTTGTAGTTAATTTTAGATCCATGTGTAGTAGTCATTGCAAATAATTTTCTGACACATATTAGTTCTGTATATGCTTAGTATTTTGACAATAAATGTATGTACAGTTTTCTTAAGGTTTATATGGCAATCCATGTTGTATTTGTTCTCTTTTATCTTTTGTAATACTAAATAAAAGTTTTATTAATAATATTTGATGTTTTAACTTATGAATCATGTGTCAGTTTAAGCCTTACTTTATACAGCATCACCTTCAGGTACTGTATATACTGTAGATTTTGATGTAGTATTTGTGTTGTAGTTGATAGTGTTGTAGGAAAGCTCAGTCTGGCTTTATAACTAACATCAGACACCTTGGATTTATAACTTACATCAACATAGGTTTATAACTCATGTGATTGGCTGTTGGTTAATGACATCATTGGGCTTCTTCACTGGATTGGCTGTTGATTAATGACATCATTGGACATCCATACATGATTGGCTGTTTTCATTATTTTCTCATGAGGCCTTCTGTGTTTAAGTGTGTAGCTCCTCGTGCACATTATATATATATTTTTTTTATCTTAATTAAACTGTTCCAAGCATTGTTAGAATTATATTTATGCTGTATTAACAAGTCCTTCCTGAGCTTGGGAGTATCTAGTCCCACAGCTTCAAATGTTTGTTTACTGTATCTGTTAAGGCAGTGTAACACCTCAACCATTTATAGGAGATAGATTAGTGATATTATCATTAGGTCATTGCAACACCCACGCAAGATGGATTCATTGTAGTCTCACCCGGTGGCTTTAAAGAGTGGTGCTTCATAGTCAGGGAAGTTATGCAATGGATCGCTTGTTTTCCATCGACCATTTTAGTTAGGATAGGTTTGGTTAGGTTAGGTTTGGTTAGCATTAGGGTGGTTAATCTTCATATAAAATAAGATGGGGTGGAGATTCTTCAGGTGATCCCATCCCTCCTGGGAATCCTCCCTGGATATAGCCCAGAGGGGGGGGGGGGTTGGAGGGAAACACTACTGACCTACCACCCACCTGACCTGACCTGACCAACCCACAGTTATCTGTTACATGCATTAACCTCAGTGACCCTCACACCTCTAATACTTGGCCACCAACACCATTACCACAGCCCACCCCTTAACACTTTCCCACCACAGCCCACCTCTAACACTTGGTCACCATAGCCCACCATCGACTTTAGTGTAGTTACCCACGAAGATGGAGAAGTAGAAACGTTTTCTGTAAATGATCAAGTTCCATTTTTATCTCAGGGGAGGGAGGAGGGGGTCAACACCAGTAATTCCCCCTCACTCACATCCCCCATCCCCCCTAGATCTGCCCTGTAAAGTTATCATAACTGGTATGATATTTCATCTTGTATTATACTCTCTCTCTCTCTCTCTCTCTCTTGTAGTACATTATTAAGTCGTTTAATCATGAGGAAAAATAAGCTGAGAAGGGTTAATATTATTCAGGTTATTACATCCTCTCTTGTCATTCTGCTGGTGTGACAATTAAGCAATATATACGTCTGGTTTACTCACTTCTCACATCCCCTTCCTCGCTCCTGTCCCTTCCCTCCCGCCTATCCCCTTCCTCACTCTTATCCCCTTCATTCCCCCTCTCCCTTCAGACCACCTAACCAAACCGGGCCATGTTATCTCCTTTACTTCTTTTTCAGTTTAATTGTGTGTGTTATTCTTTGCATGTTATTTACCCCCCCAAGCCACACCGAATTCCTCTCTATTCAAGGGTTTATACTTTATTGGTAGCATGCTATTGCAGTGGATTCCTCCCCTACAAGCGCTGTTTTTCGCTGAGTAGCCGACCCCGCGAATTCCCCAGTGTATGCCTCGTGGTCTAGGTCAACCAGCGCCACCTTACATGACGGAGGTCAACTAGCGCCACCTTACATGATGGAGGTCAACTATTAAGCCACGCCTACCTCCACTGTATAAGACCTGACCTCGTGGTGACCTGTCTCTCTTTCTACCTACAGCCAGTCCTCAAGTAACACCACCTCCACCGCTCCTGCCTGGCGGTCCTCGCTCCCGCCGGCGAGCATGACGACCCACAAGCTGGTCCTCCTCTGAGCACCCTCACCAACCAGCTCTCCCTACTCATGCATGTAACCACGCTGCCTCCTCCCAGCATCAGCCACCAAGCTGCATTGCACATCCAATATAATATATATACAGAGAGCACATTGTGAGTTTCCTTTCTCCATCCCATCCTGAGTGTGAACCAGACATCACATATCCCACAAATGGTGACCCCCGGAGATTCACACTCACACAGGATGGAGGAGAAACCGATCACTCTCCCAGTCTTCAAGCAACATGGAAGACTGGCTTATCCACACAAAGGCAGCTCTCATCGGCTCTACGTCTACAGCTACTGTCTCTACACCGCAGATTAGACACCCTAGAGCAGCACTGCTTCTCTAAGCAGACACCAGCTCCTCTTCCTGCCCCAAGCACCACGTCCTACCGACCCCAGCACACCCGTCCTGCCTCAGACGCCGCCCCTGGCCCAGCAGTACCCCCTGCCACTGTCCTGGAACCTCCACCTGACGCGGACCCTCCTCCGCTTCTGCCTGGCAGCCCCTGCTCCCGACGGGGCCCATGCGCCTGAGTGCGGCCCCACACACCCTTTTTTTTTTCTCCCTCAGGTACTCCCTGCTACTGTCCTGCACCCTGCTGCTGTCGTGGACCCTGCTGCTGTCATGCACCCTGCTGCTGTCATAGACCCTCTTCCTGATGCAGTTCTTTATTATAATTATTATTATTATTATTATTATTATTATTATTATTATTATTATAATTATAATTATAATTATTTTATTACATTTTCGCCCCCTAGGCCCCGATGTGGGTCAGTGACCTGTGCCTGGGTGGGCTAATCTCCATAAAAAAAAAAAAATAAATAAACGCCTCATGTCATGTTTATTGGGTGTGCCTGCCCGTATACAGTATGTAGAGTGTTGAGATGGTTGAAGATGAGAGACCTAGAGGAGGTGAGGTGTTGGGTGGTAGTAAGGGAGCTTGTTTGTGTATAATCGCCTGACTCAGCAGCCCTCACCCATCGAGAGAGGGTTGGTGAGGCGGCCATGTGTATCACTGTAGCTATTCAGACCACAGGCAACACCTAATCTGGTTTCTCTTGAGACTTTCAACACGTAAGTTTAACTGGTACTTATTTTGTACACAGATAGACTGTGTCCTTTGCTTCGTTTATCATTGTGACGACATAATAATATGGAAACTTAAGTACTCATTATAAGTGTTAAGATTAGACTGATTACTTAACTATGATTGTTATGTAAATATATATTGGATTAGACATTTATGTGATTGCCTATGTGTGTCTTATGTGAAATACTAAAAGGAATTGTATCCAACAGGTTTGACCAAATTATAATGTTTGAGTCCAACGTCACAAGCTTCAAAAAATCCTTTAAGCGCCTGATTGGCGGTTACAGCCACATTGCACAAGTCCCTGCAAACGCACTAGTGAAGGGGACTGTACATATTTTCCCACTGTGCCGTCTAATTGCAAGTTTAGATGCGCATTGTAACACACACACACACACACACCCACACACACACACGACTCTCCTCATCCCCAGCTTAAACAACACATAAACAATGTTAAGCTTAAACACCTTACATAATCAATACAGTACAGTATATCCCTTTACCCAAAAACTACCTCGGGAAGAGCTGCATATGTTTAACATGACACAGAGCACGGCAAGTAGGTGTGTTGAGAATGATTGAGAGGTGATTAGGGAGAAGAATGAGTGAGAGGTGATTAGGAGAGGGATGAGTGAGAGGTGATTAGGAGAGGGATGAGTGAGAGGTGATTAGGAGAGGGATGAGTGAGAGGTGATTAGGAGAGGGATGAGTGAGAGGTGATTAGGGAGAAGAATGAGTGAGAAGTGATCAGGAAGAAGAGTGAGTGAGAGGTGAGTAAGGAGAATAATGAGTGAGAGGTGATTAGGGAGAGGAATGAGTGAGAGGTAATTAGGGAGAAGAATGAGTGAGAGGTGATTAAGGAGAAGAATTAGTGAGAGGTGTATATTTAAATAAATGAATAAGAAAGTGATGTGGAAAGGACACGTGAAAGATAGTGAATGAATGGTGTAGTGAAAGAGAGAGAGAGAAAGAGAGAACCGACGCAGGCGCAGTAAAGCTCGTCGGCCACCCTGCAGTAGACAGCCTTCTTGCACTGACTGCGGGCGGCGGCGGCGGTGTGTCCGTATACGTGTTTGTGTATGTGTGTCTGTGAGAGGTCATATCTTCCTCCCAGCCACCCATGTTAGAGACTTAAGAGTGTCGGTCGCTGGAGTGTACTGAATAACTTTGTGCTAAGGCCCACGACGATGTGAACTGAATACAAACATTTATATTCACTATGCCTTCAATCCCACATATTATCGTTACCTTAGTGTAATATTATCTCTAATTTCTACCAGTGTCTTATATCACTTTTATATGTACGTCTTTATATAAACAAAGTAAGACATTTTTACTGTTATAAGATAATCTGGAGAGTTGAAAATATTAATGTTGTAGAGGCAGTTTGTAACCCGATTTTGAAGGACAGGAAGAGAAGCGTATCAGCTGTACTCCCTCACCATGACTTTGATTCTTAAGCTTTGGTGTCTAGGGGTGTGTCTAGCTCTCTCAGGTGAGATTCATTGGCTTTTTTTCCCCCTTTTTCTTCCTACTAAGATTTTTCACTCTTATAGTTGACCGGCGTACAGACTCGAACTCAGGAAGTAACAAAACAAAAACAAAAACGTTTATTGTAGCAAGAAGAGGAGAAGGAGAGGGAGGAGGTAGAGGAGAAGGAAGAATAGGAGGAGTAGTTTTAAGTTTGAGACCAACTGAAGATTAGGCACCCCAGCTTATTTCATGGGAGAGGGTGGGGGATTGTTAGAGAATGTGGGAGAGTGTGGGATGGGAGGGTGCGGGACAGTCTAGTGGGAGAAACGTGAACTTCAAGCTGACTGCCGTATCAAGCTAGTTAAAGAGGCTGTGTTATGCTGTGCTGCTGTGCTATGTTGTGTTATTCCCTTGCCTCCTGTCTCATGCTCCTCCTCTTCCTCCTCATCTTCATCCAACTCCTCTTCCTCCATCTTCCTGTCTCATCCTTTTCCTCCATCTCCCTGTCTCCTCCTCTTCCTCCATCTCTCTTTCTCCTCCATCCTCTCCCCCTCCCCTCCCTCCTCATCCTCCTCCCTCTCCTCCTTTTCTTTTTCCTGCTCCTCCACTATCAGCACCTCGGTTTTGACTCCACAAGAGGAAGTGTCAGACATCAGGAAATTAAATTGTGAAGTGTGTGTGTGTGTGTGTGCGCGCGCAAATTGATCTAAATATAAATTCGCAACACATAATGGATAAACTTTTTTGTAAACTTAGGTTCCTGCAAATATTTCTCATATCTGAAAAGTTTCAAAATAACAATCTATGACGTCACGTGTTGTTTACTTATAATGAGTATATTCCTAATGCTGTCTGTAGATCTCTGTGCTTCAAAGATTTTGTTTTATACATAACTTAGCTTTGTAGTGTTAAAGAACCGTATTTTTATCCATCCACAGTATTTCAAGTGATCATGCAATATTATGTTTTATCTCTGTATATGTCCGCTAGAAAATATCATTATTCTGTTAAAGTTGTAAACACAGCAGTAAACTATTGTTTACTGCTGTAAACAACATTTACCAATCAATAACGACATTTACCAATCAATAATATCATTTATCAATCAATAACAACATTTACCAATCAATAATAACATTTACCAATCAATAATAACATTTACCTATCAATAATAACATTTACCTATCAATAATAACATTTATCTATCAATAATAACATTTACCTATCAATAATAACATTTACCTATCAATAATAACATTTACCTATCAATAATAACATTTACTTATCAATAATAACATTTACCTATCAATAATAACATTTACCTATCAATAATAACATTTACCAATCAATAATAACATTTACCTATCAATAATAACATTTATCAATCAATAATAACATTTACCATTCAATAATAACATTTACCAATCAATAATAACATTTACCTATCAATAATAACATTTACCAATCAATATCATCATTTATCAATCAATAACAACATTTACCAATCAATAATAACATTTACCAATCAATAATAACATTTACCAATCAGTAACAACATTTACCAATTAATAATAACATTTACCAGTCAATAATAACATTTACCAATCAGTAACATCATTTATCAATCAATAACAACATTTACCAATCAATAATAACATTTACCTATCAATAATAACATTTACCAATCAATAATAACATTTACCAATCAATAATAACATTTACCTATCAATAATAACATTTACCTATCAATAATAACATTTACCTATCAATAATAACATTTACCAATCAATAATAACATTTACCAATCAATAATAACATTTACCTATCAATAATAACATTTACCAATCAATAATAACATTTACCAATCAATAATAACATTTACCTATCAATAATAACATTTACCTATCAATAATAACATTTACCTATCAATAATAACATTTACCTATCAATAATAACATTTACCAATCAATAATAACATTTACCTATCAATAATAACATTTACCTATCAATAATAACATTTACCTATCAATAATAACATTTACCAATCAATAATAACATTTACCAATTAATAATAACATTTACCAATCAATAATAACATTTACCTATCAATAATAACATTTACCAATCAATAATAACATTTACCAATCAATAATAACATTTACCTATCAATAATAACATTTACCAATCAATAATAACATTTACCAATCAATAATAACATTTACCAATCAATAACATTTACTAATCTGTGTTGCCCCCGCAGAGAGCGTGAAGAATGAGCTGTCGTGTTATCAGTGTAATGTCAGTGATAACATTGCTTGCACAGACGAGTACCTCCAACCTTGCCCTAACAAGCAGGTGTACGACAGGTGTGAGACCCGCGTTAGGAAGACAGGTACGGTGTGTGCTCTCTCTCTCTCTCTCTCTCTCTCTCTCTCTCTCTCTCTCTCTCTCTCTCTCTCTCTCTCTCTCTCTCTCTCTAGATGAACTGCCCTCTTTCTACATCTCCTTCTCTAACTTATTAAATTACATGTAGTGCAGCTGTAGATCATTTTTACCTCTGTAGTGCAGCTGAAAATCTGTCTTTATGCCGCGAAATCTTTTTCAGTTGATGGACGACAATGGGTGGAGAAGGGATGCGCGCTGTCCCCTTGTAACCTGTCACCGGAGGAGGAGGCGTCGCTTGGGATGCAGTGTGACTACTCCGCCCCGGCCTATGACTGTGTTTACTGTTGCAAGGAGAGCGGCTGTAACGGTGGAGGGGCTGCGGCTGCTACACTTCCCTTACCCCTGATGATCCTCTCCTTACTCACCCCTTTGGTAATGCCCCTTGTTGTTCTTCTCAACCCTTAGTGCCCCTTTCTCTTCTTCAGATTACATTAAAAACAACATAAACACATCGCTAGCACGAACGATCAGTAGCGCTTGGCTTTCTCTCCTCCATTGCAAGTAGTTGTGTTTGGCGCCCTCACATGTCATCACCTGGAAGACTATAGCCTCAGCCTCCTTCCTTCTTTCTTGTCTTTCTTCTTTCTTTCCTTCTTTCTTCCCTCCTGCCTAACTTCCCTCCCTCCCTCCTTCCCTCCCTCCTCTTCTCATTCATATTTTCATTTTTTACATCCCCCCCCCTTTTCTTCCTTCCTTCATCCCTCTCATCTCTTATCTTGATCTTTTTCTCACCTCTCACCCGTCACTGCTCACTCCCACACACTCCTCCAACTCCTCGTCACCCATATTCGACATACTGGGTAATCATTCACGTTATTCATCCATTCTCATTCACACTTGCAATTAAAGCATTTATCTCCCTATAATACTTAATAAATGCGTAATAAAGCGTTACATCGTTAGAAATAATAAGTATAAAATTTTGAAATGTTTGTCGTGTGAAGAGAGTAACTTGGTATATACTGTATATTTACAATGGTGTTTACGTTGTGTCAGATTGCCTCACCGAAACGATGTTCTCACTGGGAAAACAACAATATCAAGATAAATTAATATAAACATTTTAGTATAATGGCTCAGGGTGTTCAGTGAAACAATACGAAAAAATATAATAAATTACATAAGTGACATGTTTGCTCTCAGATTGGCGCAACTTCATCATCGTCTCTAGAAAATCTTCAGAAAGTTACCCATAAACCTCATTTAGTTAGTATCTTAGAAAGTGTCTGTATAACTGATGAGTAAATAACTTGTTCAAAGAGTATTGTTGTTGTGTTATGATAGAGAGAGTTTGTCAATCATAAAACTGCATTTTATGTTTGTTATTAGGCATTTGTTATTATGGTTGTCTCACGGCACATAATACTGTTGATGTAATTATGTTTTTTTTTTTTCATATACTCCCAGAGGCCTTATTAAAAACCACAATGGAGCTTGTGCGAGCTAATTCACCCAGACCAGAAAAAACAACACATGATGTCATAAAACAGCACCTGGCGACTTTAAAAACAGCACGTAACTTAATAAGAAAACATGACCGCTCATTGGCTGTGTTGAGACTGCCTGAACCTGTACATATGATACTCAAAGGTAAAGCTCGTTGGTTCTTCTGTTTGTTTACTTGTTTATATGTTTTGTGTTTTTCTTTGTTTGGGCAATAGCTCAAGCACTTTTTGAACTAGGGTGGTGAAAAATGGATACAAAAGTGACCAAGTGCTTTGTAAAAAAAGAAAAAAATCTTTTGGTTTTGATTCGTATTTTGTTGATGGTCTGAGTGGTGGTGTACACATGACGTGTATGTATGTCTGTGTGTGTCTTTTTGTATGCATAAATTATTAGCTCGGGTTATCAATGCGCAAATCTTACGCTCAGTTTACTCAGTCATTAACACAACTCAGTAGGACTTAACCTTTAGTCCATCACTGATACCAAGTTACTCTCAGAAACCTTGTATTAATTCACATATAAGTCGAATATTGTTATGACGTCAATCACAGAGCGTGAATTCGCACAAGCGACTTTGATTTAATTCAATACTAACTACTAGTAAAATATATACTGTAACCATGATAACGAACACAGCTGGGAATATTACACGTCCGTACTGCCTGACACAGCTATAATAATTATAGTTTGGGATAAAATACTTAAAAAAGAAAATACAATTATATAGGAAGGTAAAGAAACAGAATGAATAATAAAAAAAGTTATAGATATCGGCCATCACAGTGAGAACATGGTTGGTATATTGTAGACACTCCCTATACTTAAAATTAATCACATCATAAATAGGCAGCTATATTCTTCCCTGTGATTATATATTTATATGTGTGTGTGTGTGTATCGTTATATACCTTATTATACATGTTATTTATTTTATTAACAGTTATTGCTCTTGTTGAATATTGTATAAAGTGGTTTGTTTACCTTATAGTCATGATACCTTCTATATTATAATGTAAATGGTTTATTGTATCTATAATTTACTCAGTTAAGGATCGTTCTGGCGGAGTCTTGATTCTAGAAATATTATATACGATCACTATTATTTTAAGACGACGATTGTAATAAGTAAATATATTTGAAGTTACAGTTGTCTTTCTTTTCATCTTCACACGCTGGCATGGCACTGAGAGAGAATGAACAGACACAGATAGAGAATGAACAGACACAGATAGAGAATGAACAGACACAGATAGAGAATGAACAGACACAGATAGAGAATGAACAGACACAGATAGAGAATGAACAGACACGGGGCGAGAATGAACACTTACTTGGCCAGTAAATATTCTACAAGTAATGATCGTTGCTCGGGTATCGCAATATACACTGTTAGCGGGTGGATACACTGTGTTTTCACTGTTTTATGTAGCCTGAGACGAATTTTTTTAATATTTTATTTTCCTTTAATTAGTTTTGGATGAGAACAAAATGGCCCAATGAAATAATCACCAATGAACTTGATGCTTCATATTTTTATTTGAAAGCAAAACATTACAAAATGCGGGAATAGATAAAGATTACATTAATAAAAATAAAAGCACACGAACAATATACGTACACAAGCGTCGGCAAGAGCAAAGGTTGCGACCTGTTTCCTGGCCTGGGTCGGTGACCGTATCAGGCCAGGTACCTATAGGTCGCAACCTTTGATCTTGCGACATCTTGCCGATGCTTGGCAAGTGTCGACAAGATCAAATCATCATATGTTGCGACCTGTCACCTGGCCTGACAGTCACCGACCGGCCCCACTCTTTACTGGGGGTGGTTAGTGGTGGGAGAGTGGGAGGGACTGGTGAGTTACTCCACCCATCCTCTCCCCATGTGACCTAAGCTGGCAGACCCAAAGGACCCCACCGACCCCATGACCTCTTTGCGACCCTACCTAATGAGCCTTCCGACCCCATTTGGGGTCGCGACCCCAGGTTTGGGAACCCCCGTGCTACGGTAATCTTTGGTCTCTTGCTCGCCCTCATACCAGCTGGGTGTGAGGCAACAAACTAAGAATTCCTGTGTTGTCTTTACCTGGCTTGTCTTGCACAGGTTACAGGAAGGAAGGGAAAGAGAGTCAGAGGGAGAACCGACCCTCCTTCCATTGGATGGTGAGATCTTCCAACACAGGACTTCAAACACATCTAACGAAGCCCGTGTGGACGTCAGTGCTCGAGGATTCTGGACGCGGGGACAGCGAGCTTTCTTCGACATCAGGATTTTTGATCCCATGGCCGCAAGTCACCGTAACCTAGCTCTCGATGCTGCACATAGGAGGAACGAGAACAAGAGAAGGGCATATGGGGAGAGAATTCAAAACGTTGATCAAGGCAGCTTCACTCCTCTAGTGTTCACAACTTCTGGTGGGATGGGACCAAGTGCAAGATGTTTCTACGCCAGACTCGCGGAGGTGATCTCCGAACAGAAGCAGCAGCCCAGAAGTTATGTTACAGCCTGGATGAGATGTCGACTGTCTTTCTCTCTCCTTAGGTCGGCTTTGCTCTGCCTCAGGGGAACGAGAGCTTCTGCCCCAACTCCGACAACTGCCGCAGATATTGACTATGAGGCTACAGTCACTGAATGCCGCATAGATCTGTGTGGCTCAACTAATTTAACACAGATAGGATAGCTACTTATGTATTAGGATATTTAATATTAAGGTAATTAAATGGTGGCGAAGGTGTGGCTATTGGGAGAGGCTGGAGGCCACTATTATGAAAAAAAAAGTAGGTGTGTGTGTGTGTGTGTGTGTGTGTGTGTGTGACTCACTTGTATGCACGCATGAGGACCAGTATAGCCATCATCCAGCACCACAATGTAAGGCGCAGAGGCACGCTTTCACCCATCCATCCAGCACCTATCGTAACGTGAAGAAGGTGCATGATAAGAACTGTTACAACACAACAACACGACACAACAACACGACACAACAACACAACAACACAACACAACAACACAACACAACAACACGACACAACAACACAACAACACAAAACAACAACAGCACAACACAACACAACATAAGTTCGTCAAGATCGTCTTAGTGAGGTGAAAGTGTAAATCGAAGTCGGACTTTTCATGCTAGACACGATTGTATTTTTTGAAAACTCAATTTCCACCGAGTTGGAGGTGCAGCCAGGGTCACAGGCCACAATCACTGCCACATGACAAAGCTTTTATTTTATTTTATTTTTTAGGGTGTTGTGGTCACGGCTGTGATAAAGGCCAACCAGGGAGTGTAGTACTGTGCCTTCAGTTAAATCAGTTCATAGTTGTCATCAGTGAATGCAGAAGAGACTATAATAACTTAAAGTGAATACATATTGGCAATCGAGCTGGTAAGGACAACTGCCAGCCTATACGTGTCATAGGTGCCACAGAGACTTTAAATTTTATTTTGTTTGTGTGCTTGCTCAAGGACTGAATCTGTGTTTATAATACACCACTCACAGGGAGATACAGTGTACACAGTGATAGTTCATAGTGTCATCAGTGACCGCTGAAGTTGTAAATAACTTAAAGTGAGCGCTCACTAGCAAGCAAGCTGGAAAGGCACCGTGCCAGCTGAAACCAAGTCGTGTCATAGGTGCCACAGAGACTTTAAATTTTATGTTGATTGTGTGCTTTCTCAAGGACTGAAACTGTGCCTACAATACACCATTCACAGGGAGATACAGTGTACGCAGTCGCAGACGACAACTCCATAGGCAACAGAGAGTAGCTAAGTACTTTTTCTCTCTTTATTTTCTTTGAAATAGGTGTAGATTTATACACAGTCTGCACCCCCCCCCCCACAACAACAACAACCATGAGTTTGATATGTGATTACTGCAGGGAGACGTCGGATATGGAGGATGCAGGCCTAACTAATGCAACGTTTAGGAAGTTACTAACTGCCGTAAAGCTTGATGGCTGTTGCTGGTATTGCCCTGGCTGCATAGTCAAGGTGAATGAAGCGATTGCAATCCATAAGGGAACGAGTTCTCTAGGGACGAAAATAGATGAAGCAGGAGCCCTGCTGGTTGACAAACTGGAGCAAGTTGAGAAAGAGATCCTTGCTAAGACTGAGGAAGTAGCTAATAGAATGGAGGTGGTTGCTAAGAGGAGTTATGCGGACGTATTAGGAGGGCCACGGGGGGGGGGGGGGGGAGAGTAATGCAGAATCAGTACAGGTTCTACAGCAGATTGGGACTCTGAAAAAGTGTGTCGTGTATAGATATGTACATACCAAGATATGTGAACACGCCTGACACCAGGACTCTTGTTACCATTCATTGTACCATATATGTCTGATGTCCATGCTTATGTCTAATGCCTATGTTCATTTACTATGTCCCGATGTACTATGTCTGTACCGCGCTAGTCGAGTAATTAGAAGACCTCATTTATTGTCCTAGGAATGTCTAGCAACTCCCCTTGCCTGGCTAGCTAATTTCCCTCAGATCGGCCTCGGCCTACCTACGGTCCGGGGTCCCTAGTAATCGCTCCTGCATCGGTTGGCTATCACGCCCAGTCTTGTACACTTATTGAATATATCTACTGCTCGTGCCCTGGAGTTTCAAGAACCTTGTCTAGGATTACATCCACCACACCACATGTCGAAGAAATGAAAATTAACGCACCTACTGTTAGGGGAGAGGAGGAACACCAGGAACGGCTCCAGCGCAGGAACAATGTAATAGTTTTTGGAGTCCCAGAGAGCCAGGCAGAGGGAACTGTGAGTAAGGAAACACACGACAAGGTGCTGTTTCAAAATATTTGCACAGAGGTTCTGAAGATTCCAGCAACCCCTCAGGATGTGAGGAGACTGGGACAAAAGCAGGGGGCTAAGCCTCGCCCCCTCAGGATCACACTAGGGAGTGAGGAGGAAAAATGGCAAGTTATCCGGCAGGCAAAAAACTTAGCAAGGAGCGAGGCATTTCGGGATGTATTTATTCACCCAGACCGCACGGTAATGCAGAGGGAACAGCACAAGAAGCTCCTGCTGGACTTGAAGCAGAAGAGGGAGGAGTCGAGGAGGAACGGGGACAGGTGCACATGGGTTATACTCAGGGGGAGGGTAGTGGAAACAAGTGTGCCGACATAGGGCCAGGGGGCAGCAGTGCACCCTCCACCCACTCAACCCCCCACCCGGGAGGCGGCACCAGCTCAGCCGACCGGACAGGAGGGAACGAGCGCCGTGTAAACAATGACATTTTTAACCACACCCTGCAAAATACAGTGTACTTAGCAAATGCTGCAGCTTCTGAGAATGTGGGTGGAGCGGGTTTATTACTAAGAGCAGAGACGTTACCGAGAACAAATTCTGGCTTGAATGTCATGTACACTAATACTGACACGTTCCTTGATAAGAGGGAGGAGTTTGAAACACTATTAAGAGTACACCAACCAGATATTGTAGGAGTTGTAGAACTGTTGTACAAGAACAGGAGAATCGACCCAGAGGAATGTGAGTTCAGTATTGCTGGATATGACTCATTTACGAACCTAACTCAAGAATCCTGCAGGAGGGGTGTGGTTATCTACGCTAGGCAAGACCTTAGAGCCAGCCAGGCGAGGGTACAGGGAGAGGATGTTTTTGAAGAGTCCAAGTGGTGTAAAATTAAATTAAAGGGAGGGGACTTACTTATCGTCGGGTGTATCTACAGATCCCCGAACTGTGGCCCACTAAATCAAAGGAACTTAAGAACCTTAATAAACAATGCAGCGATGCTCAACCCCAGCCACCTCCTTATCATGGGGGACTTTAACTATGGCGACATCGACTGGAGAAACGAGTCAACCCCGAATGACTTGAATAATCCTGCTACTCTTTTTGTAGAAACTCTGAGAGATAATTTTCTGTTCCAACATGTGAGAGACCCGACACATTACAGAGGGGAGCAAACACCCAAGCCACTTGACCTCATCATAACAAACGAGGAGGGTATGGTGGCCAAACTGGAACACCTTGCCCCAGTTGGCACCAGTCACCATACAGTGTTGTCATTCAGATTTAACTGTTACCTAGTTCAAGATAAGGCCAGGCCAAGGTGCAAATATTACAAGGGAAATTACAATGGGATGAGGGAAGAGATGAGGGGTATCAACTGGCCTGA